GGCGGGGCTTTCGGGGTCGAGAGGTTACGTTGTTCACCTCTCATTCAGTAGGTCCTGGGTTTGAAACCTGATGACGGAAACTTTTCTTCTAAAAAATTGTCTTCTTTCACCTCCTCCGTTGCTGTTTTCTAACAATGTTCTGTTGTCTGCTTTCGTCTCCACTTTTTGCCCCCACCCCCATCATCTCCTTTGCCCCCTCCTCTAGGTTCCTAACTCTTTCTTCAGCCTTCCTACTGCTATTCTGTGGCTCCTTTTTACTGCTCTCTTTCAGCCACACCCCTTATTTTATGTTTGGAAAGATCTACGCCTAGCCTCCTTGGGTAAGGGCGAAAAATCTCGGAGGTCTCGTGTGCAAGTTGTGCACATTAAAGATCACTGGGTAGTCCAAAATCAATTTTAAAAAACTAAGGCTCTGGCTGCTACATGAGCAAAATTTAAAATTAATTCTTTCCAAAGTGAAAATGTTTAATGTGTCCTGCACACTAATAGGACCTTATGCAGTTGCCAGCGCCGTAAAACACTTGCCACAATAAGAGTTGTTGGCTTGTGGTGTGGCGGGCAGCAGGCAGATGTTTTGCGGTGGTCTGTTCTCTTTTTTTTTTTGGGTTGGAAATTAATTGGCACTCTACTTGTTCTGATCTTTTCTGTAATATCCCCATTTTGTAATATCCCCATTCTGTAATATCCCCATTTTGTAATATCCCCATTCTGTAATATCCCCATTTTGTGATATCCCCATTCTGTAATATCCCCATTTTGTGATATCCCCATTTTCTCGCTGATGGCCATTCTAGTTTACTATGCTTTGTTATTTTTTCTGCTTCTTTTCAGTGTTGTTGATTTCCTACAGGTTTTTGTGCTGCTGTTCTTTGAGGAAGTCTGCCTCTTCTACTTCTTGTTAAAATGTTTTTGCCTTACGCATGCAGTGGTGCTTGTTAATAAGATTTGATGCCCCCCCCCCACCCCAACAGGTGTTGTTCTTTGATGTAGTCTGCCTTTTCTACTTCTTTCAAAATGTTTTTTCCCTACTCATGCAGTGGTGCTTGTCAATGAAATTGTATCCCTCCCCCCCTTTCTCTCCCCAGGTTGTATCTATCGGTCAAGCTGATGTTTGCCCTGGCCATCTTCATCTCGTACAACCTGCAGTTCTACGTTCCGGTCAATATCATGTGGCCCGTACTCAAGCAACGGTTTCGCAACCGCTGGATTCGGAAGTACGGGGAGTTCCCCTTCCGGATCTTTCTGGTTATTATCACCTGTAAGTTGTGTATATGTGTGTGTTTGGGTTTGTGTGTTTGTGTAAGTGTGTGTGTGTAAGTGTGTGTGTATGTGTGTGTGTTTGTGTGTGTTTATGTGTATCATGTATGTGTGTGCGCACACGCATGTGCGTGTGTGTATGTGTCTATGTGTGTGTGTATGTGTGTATTTGTGTGTGTTTATATGTGTGTATTTGTATGTAAGTGTGTGTGTGTATGTGTGTGTTTCTACATGTTTGTGTGTGTGTGTTTATGTGTGTTTATGTTTATATGAATATACATATATGTGTGCGTGTGTATGTTTATTTGTGTGCGTGTGTATGTTTATATTTATGTTTGTGTATGTTTATATATATATGTGTGTGTTTGTGTATGTTTATATATATGTGTGTTTGTGTATGTTTATATATGTGTATGTATGTGACACCAACTGCTTCTACATTCCCCTCATATTTGTTCTGTTGTATTTCAGTCGGTTTTGCGGCGGTGATACCCCACCTGGATCTTCTGATCTCCCTGATTGGAGCCTTCGCTAGTACCTCGCTAGCTCTCATCCTGCCCGCCACCATCGAAATTCTCACCCAGTTGGGCGAGGGGGAGCGTCTGCCGTTCTATTTATGGCTCAAGAACGGTCTCATCTTTCTTTTCGGGATCATCGGGTTTTTCACGGGAACCTATTCGGCGTTGCAGGAGATCATCAAGAAGTTCTGAGTGATAGCACTGTTGGGTTTTGTGAACGTAGCTGCGTTTCATTTCGCAAAGACTCGCTCCATTTGGGCTGGTCCAGAGCGACTTACATGGAGAGCCTAAACAGACGGGTAATAGGGAAAGATCAGGGCAATGTTGCTTTTTTCGAAAGCGTCCGAGCAAAGGAATGAATGGCAAACCGTGATCGTAGATGACTATCTGTCGCTGATGTCTGTCGCAGATGTCTGTCGCAGATGTCTGTCAGTGGATGATGATGAGCTGCTTCACGCTGAGACACGCGCTGTTGTGAGGTGTACTGCTTTCTCAGTCAGCATCATGCTGGTCTACAGAACGGATGGCCGTCCCTGGTTCAAATCCTCAACTGGACATCAGCTGAACCTGGGGTTGTATTGGGGAGTTTTTAAGGATCTTCACTCTTTCGGATTTGTCTTATATCGGAGATCATATTGGGAGTTTATTATGCGTTCCACCTGTTTGGATTGGTCCTATCTGAGATGGACGTTCAATTTGGAGGTACCATACCTTAAGTAACCTTACAGTACAGTGTTGAGACGGGCATTTCCTTACAGTGTTGAGATTTTTATTGACTATCTCATGTCCCTCTCAGCCTGTGCTAGTCCCTAAATGATCTAAATTGTGTCAATAGTTATGTAAAAACACCTGTATCTTTTAATTAATTTAACTGAGTCGATAGCAACGACATTTAATTGATTTACTGACATTTAATTGATTTACTGCGCCAGGCCCGATAAGTCTGTTGCAGTCACTCTCCTGGCTGGGTGACCACATGGGGTATTTTTTACTGCTGGCTGTGTGACTGCAAAGTGTTAAAAATGACAACAACAAAATTAAGCACCCTTTGTGCAGTTCTGTCGTGTCTGAAATCCAGCGTGTGTTATTTGAGAGCTAGTGGTGTGTACCCTTATGTGGGTCAGGCGTGTGTGGGAGAGAGAGCGTGCCTGCCACAGCGTGTATGATGATACACAAAGCGAGGGTAAATGTCGCACCACGGTAAGGGTGATGGTCACTATGGTAGTCTGTGTGACAGGTCGACATGTAGCTACCAACCTGTACGTAAAAGACGTATATTTGTTAGGCATAGTGATATGAGGCACTTGTTAGAATAATGAGATGGAAGAAACCGACCTTTTCAGACCTTTTGGGAAATTTTTATTGGATTTTTTAAAAATTGGGTCAGGG